CCCCTTCTCCCCCTTCTCCCCCTCAAACTTTAAAGCCTAATACCACTTTTCAGCACTTAAAATACCTGACCTGAAGCATCCTGTGGATGAAAGAGGGTGGCAACACATCAAACTGTATTTTTTGCTTTATTTTTTGTGCTTTCCATGCTTATTTGTATGTGGTGCTGTGAATTTTTGAGGGAAAACTGGAAGAAGTGCCTTTTTTTTTTTTTTCCCTGGGGCTTGGAGACTGATTTTTGGTTTGGAGAAACAAAGGGTGTTGTCAGGGATGTTAAATAGAACGTTCTGGTAGCAAATTCAGCGTGTGGAGGGGAGAAGTTGTGTTCTGCTGAGCCTCATAAATCCAGGGGTAATGTCAGACTTCACAACTAAACGGTCTGAGAACTTGGGAAAAAAAAGATGTTGTGGCTTGGAGGGAAAAAAAAAGACAGATAAAGATATGATTGTGCAGGGAGAAAAAGAAAAAGGGTTAATTAGTCACATTTGACACCGTTTTTGGAGGTGTTAAATACATCAAAACAGCTCAGGGGTGACAGTGGAAAGCTAAAACCTTATAAATGTTTGGGGAATGGGTTTGTTCAGCCTTAAATGTGCAGTGTGTTGGTAATGCCAGGGGAGGATTTTGAAGGAAAACGGATTTCCAAGAGGGTGGAAGAGCATCCAGAGGCAGGAGAAGAGCCTGGATGGACTTCCTGGAACAAACAGGTTTTGTTAAAAATGGACATTAAATCTCCTCAGAAGTGAGGGCTCATTAAATGGAGTGTCTCCCCCCCTGGAAGGTGACACCTCCCCAGGGTCAGCACCTCCTTCCCTGGAGCATATTTGGCTCATTTTCCATGGGGCTGGAATGGTTTCTGTGGAGCTGGGTGGGAGGTTTCATTGTCCCAGTCAGGGCACAACCAACAGCATCTTCCCAACACTGGTTTGATTTTCCCAACCTGGTGACCTGCAATTTTTTAATTCCTCCTGCAACTTTCTAATTCCTCCTGCAACTTTCTAATTCCTCCTGCAACTTTCTAATTCCTCCTGCAACTTTCTAATTCCTCCTGCAACTTTCTAATTCCTTCTGCAACTCTTAATTCCTCCTGCAACTTTCTAATTCCTTCTGCAACTTTTAATTCCTCCTGCAACTTTCTAATTCCTCCTGCAACTTTCTAATTCCTTCTGCAACTCTGTAATTCCTCCTGCAACACTAATTCCTTCTGCAACAGTGATGGGAGTGAAGGTACATTTGTGTCTCCCCAACCCGGGGTTGTCTCCAGGTGTTCCTTTGCTCCCTTGGAGCAGCTGGAGCTGGAATAGCATCCCATTAAGGGGTGGGTTTGTTGGGGTGTCCTGTGCAAGGCCAGGAGCTGGATTAAATGATCCTTGGGGTCCTTTCCAGCTGAGGATATTCCATGATTCTGTGATAAAACACTCCGAGGCAAACCAAGTGTTTTTCCACGTGGAAAAATGAAACCACTTCGTGGTTTGTTGCCCAGATTTCCCATCCTGTGCCTGGCCCAAGCCTGAGCTCCTGCCCAGCTCCTGCTGAAGGAGCTGGAAAATCCCAGCTCCATTTAGAACCCCCCTGCTCCTGGGGCTTTCCCTGGGCTCCAACAGGGATATTTGAAGCTCCGTGGCGGGAGCGGGAGAAGCTTCATTTACGTGTTCCCTCCTTAATGAACAGGCTCTCCTGCCTCTTGGAGATGATTGCTTTGGGATCAGAGGTGATGCCTTTGGGCTGCAGGGAAGCAGATTCCCTGAAGGACTCTCCAATTACTGTTATTCTTGGAGAGAAAGGTGCTCCAGCTCAAAGCAGATCCATTGGAGAGCAGCTGACATCCCGCTTTTTTGGGGGGAAACCCCATGTGAGGTTTGAGTTTAACACCTAAATTATGGCCATGAGCACTCCCTGCTTTGGTCTGAGGATGAAACATGAAAGGATTGTTCTAATTGAGGGGAATCTTGAGATTCCCTTGGGGAGGTGATGCTTCAAATGACTCCTGATCCGACACCTCGGGGAGGGATCGAGCGCTGGGACCTCTCCTGGGCTGGGTTTTAAGGAGTTCAGGGGAATATTTGTGGTGCCTCAGCTCTTTGCTGAGCTCTTTACTTATCCTCTGGCACCTTTTGGGGTGAAACAGTGTGAATATAGGAATTCTCAGGGGTTTTTATCCCAAATATTTGCCGTGAAGTCCCCACCTTGGAGGTGTCCGAGGAAGGACTGGCCGTGGCACTCAGGGCTCAGGGCTGGGGGACAAGGCAAGGTCAAAAGTTGGATTTGATGACCTTGGAGGACTTTTCCAACCCAAATAATCCTGGGATTCTGTAGATAAAGGGCCTTCTGGAGGCACAACTGACCTTGGGAGTGCAGCAAGGCCACGTTGTCCGGAGGGTCCTGCTGGGATTTGTTGGATTTTCCCTTGGATTGAACAGCTCTTCTCTCCTGTGGGAGCTCTAAAACTGCTCCAGCCCTTCCCCAAAGCTGGACTTTGCCTTTGGAATCTCCAACATGACCTCTCTTCCCTGGGGATATAATAATGTGGGATATTAAGTTTGAAAACAAAGCTTTGCTGCAGGAAAACCCCCAAACCCCTGAAATCACACCTTATTTTGGGGTCTGATTTTGGGGTCCTCCTGCTGGAAGAGCTGCAGGGGGGCTTGGCCTCCCAAAGTGGGAATCCACTGCAATCCCAGAAAGTCCAGGATGAGGTTTGCCAAGTGTTTTCTTGGATTCTGGAAGTTTTGGGAGGATTTGCTTAAAACTTGAGCCCCTGCTTTTGGCAATTCTTAAATGAAGTTGATCCCAAGAGCCAACAGGAGCTGAGTTGTGTCCAGAGGCCTCTGGCCTGGAAAAAAAAAGGAGAAAATTCCATTATTTTCCAACATTTAGCTTTAAAAATCTCCAGTATTTTTTTTCCCTGACTGCTGAGTGAGAGGTGAACACCTGATTAAGTTCCCTGAGGAGGGACCTCCCAAATTTTGGGCTCCTTCTCCATTTTAAAGGCAAGCTGGGACTTCACCTGGGTCCATCCCAGAGATTTTTTCTCCCAGTTTTTCAGGGAATGTTCTCTTGTCCTTTTCTCCAAAGCCCCCAATTCTGATTTCTGCTGCCAAGATGCATCCTCAGGGTGTATCTTTGATTTTTCTTCTCCCTTCAGCTGTTTTTTTTTTGTCCAGGTAAGTGCTTTGTGTCCCTCTCCAGCACTTTTCCATGAGCAGGACTCCTCAATTCCTGCCTGGAGAAGGATCTCCCACAGTAAAAAAGAAGGAAAACAGGGAAAATTCGCTACTACTGCTCATTTCTCTTCCTTCATACCCACAGCAGAATTATTAACTCAGAAACATGACTGGTTTTTATCCTCTTTATGCCAGTTGTGCATTTTTTTTTTCTATGTGTGTGGTTTATATGTCTTTTATATTCTTTTTTTTTTTTTTTTTTAATAAAGGGAGAGCTGATAAAAATGCAAAATAAAAAAATGAACAGCTTATAATTCCTCTCATCAGGTTTGCTTTGTCTTCGTGGGACACTGTTTATAACAACATTAAAAATCACTTTTTGTTGTCGTTCTTCTCATTCATCCCTTTCCAAAAATAACTCCTGAAAGGCTTTGACTTGTGCTGGTTCATTTTGGGCAAGAGAGATTTGGGTGGAGACTGGAGTTCTACACAAATTTCACGGGGGTATCTTAATTAGTACTATTTTTAGTGGATTTTCTGAATATTTTAAAGCTGAATTACCAAAAGGAAGCACCTGGAGTGACTCAGGTTGTCACCAGGTCTTCCAAGATCCGAGGGTTTATCCTTCATTTTCTCTTATCCATGGAAAAGTTCCCCTTCCTGCTCCTCAAATCCCACTGGTTGGGCTCGGAATAAACTTTGCAGTCGAGGTGATGCAAAGGAAAAACCCCCCAATGTTCAAAAAAAAGCTGTTTTAGCACTTCCTCTTGGTGTTCCTGCCGTGACTTTC